ACACTAGGTGAATGATTGCATGAGAGTAGAATTTCCTAGCAAAATGCTAGTTGTGACAGTACATATGGGTACGCCTAGCGTACGCATGGGGGCTCCCCATTTTGCGTCTCGTATATGTACGCCATGCGTACACCCTGTACACCCAGCGTACGATCCGCCCTAAAAATCCCAACATTTTGAATAATTATAACTTGAATACATAGAAACATAATACCTGATAAATCCCGGATGTTACAAATCTCTCCCACTTGAATTAGAATTCGTCCTCGAAGTATGCTGCTGCTGCTGGGAATAACTCGGCATAATGCTCCCTCATCTCATCCTCTTGCTCTCACATCCATTCCAATCCCTTACGGTGTTGCCACTGCACATTCACCAATTCTACTTATTTGTTTCTAAGAGCCTTCATCTTCCTGTTGAGAATGGCCACACGCCTCTCAATGTAGTTCAGACGGTCATCCACTTGTGTGTAATCCAAAGGAACCACCGCGAAATCATCCGCTATGCACTTTCGCAGCTGTGAAACATGAAAAGTGTTGTGGATCTATCTAAGCTCTTCCAGAAGGTCCAACCTATATGCTACCTTGCCCATTGATATGTGCATATTTAGTTTGTATTAAGTATAGATTTTTATTCATTTATTAGCTAAATTATTGCATTTCGTGGACAAAAGGTACTTAATAGTGTTTAAATTGTATTTTCAGTCCAAAAATGAAGCTCAGAAGTAAAAGGAAGCAGGAGAAGCGGTTAGGAGCTCCGGAATTGGATAAAGAAGAAAAACACCAAAAATAGCACCTACTCGGCGAGTCCAAGTGAGGATAATGACTCGGGAACCCAGATGCTTATCGCGTACGGATATTGTGAGACGGACTCGACGAGTCCCCACCTGACTCGACGAGTCGATACGCAAATATATAGATAACTTCTCAGATCGAGGAAAAGAACTTCTGGGATAATTCTGGAGTATTTAGCTGCGATTCAGAGGCTGGAGAAACCCTAGAAGACGAAGATAGAAGCTACAATTCAATCCCGAAGGAGATTTGAGGCAAATTCCATCATTATACTTAATCTTTTGTTTTCCACCATGGTTAGACAATTAGAATTCATTTTTGTGTTGTTATTTACTTCAATCATGAGCTAAAACTCTTAAACTTCTGTTTGGGGATACAAAATTGAGACTATGGTTTGATTATTGGTAGGATTAATTCAATGTTGGTGATTTATTTGTTATTTTAGCTTGCTAAAGAACCTTGTGTGTGAATGATAATTAATTTTCTATTAATAGGAAGATAATTAAATAGCATGAACATCGTTTGATTATCAACCTCATATATCTTGTGACTACTTTGCTATATGTCTAGGATTAATGAACATGAAACTAGGATTAATAAGAAAATTAAGTAAATTTATGTGCAAGCTTGTGTGATGACCATCAACAAGAAGTTAATTAAAACCAAATTGATTAACTATTGTGAGTCTAAAGTAATCCGAATAATTAATCTAGTGAACTAAATTGAATTAGACAACTGATCACTGTTTAAGTTAGTTTATTTGCTAAGGATTAGTGTAGTGAATACGAACCTAATCACTTGAATCAGTAGCCAACAAAAGAATTAATCCATTGCACTATTACCTTGAAATCAACCATAGGATCAATTGAGTTGAACTAAACAGAAGTTCCTTCGCATTATTGAATCTAGTTAATTCTCTGTTTTTCTAGTTTTTAGATTAAGTAATAGTTAGTAAGTTTCTAGTCTTGTAAAACTAGAGAAAACCCTCTACTTATTAATTAATTTAGATAGAATTAGTTTTTATTTTTAATTTGCCGTTCCCTGTGTTCGATACCCTACTTGCTTAAACTATTCCACAATTGATAGGTACACTGCCTTTGTGTGTTTATTTTACAACTAAAAGTAGGATTAAAACTAAGTGAGTTTACGCACATCAAGTTTTTGGCGCTGTTGCCGGGGAACGGTTCTAAAATTAGCATTAAAAATCTAATTCAATCGATCCTTTGTGTGAGATTTATCTTACACAAAGTTAATTTCTGTTTAATTTATTAGGTAGTATAAAAAAAATAAAAAATAAAAAAAATAAAAAAAAAACTGATTTTACCTTGGACTCGCCGAGTGCATTCGCCCAGACTCGGCGAGTACGACGCTAAATCAGCTTTAATTTTATTATATTTTTTTCTTTTTACGCGTTTTCTGTTTTGTTTGCAGTTGTTTCATGACCCGAGGATCTGATACACCTCTGGTTCCCCCTCTTGAAGATCCGGAAACCGCACTAAGAAGGAGCAAAGGCAAAACCGTTGGAGAATCCGCTTCTTCAAAGAACTCACCACTCAAAAACCTCAAGTCCGTTTTCAGCAAGAAAAGGAGCAACAAATCAGGAGCATCCAGTGCCTCGTTGACAATCGAAGACCCAATTCAAAAAGACACCGAGTACGAGACCGAGGAAGAAGACGAACCCACATACGAGCACACATCCGAGTTTGAAGACGATTTAGCTACCGCTATGGCTAATATCGATGAAATCCCCATGGGGGAATGGAAGAAGAGGATGCGTGATGACACCGGCCCGGGACTTGTGCAACCCGCAATTCCCGCAACCGTTACTTTCGAGCTAAAGGGCCATATTCTCGCTCAACTCAAGGAGATTCCTTTTTACGGGAAAGATCACGAAGACGCCTATAAGCACTTGGATGAAGTAAATGATGTGGCTGATTACTTCAATGTACCAAATGTGCCTCGCGAGATCCAGCTTCTTCGCATGCTTCCTGTCACATTTAAAGGAGCTGCAAAAGATTGGTTAAAGTCACTTCCTCCCGGATCGGTCACCACATGGGCCAAGATGAAAGAAGAGTTCATAGACCATTTTGCCCGCCTTCCAAGATAGCCAAGCTAAAGAAAGCCATTGCCAACTTCGAGCAACAACCCGGAGAATCTCTTTATGAAGCTTGGGAAAGGTACAAGAGCCTACTTAGAAATTGCCCACACCATGACCTTAATAGCCAACAAGAGGTCTCCATTTTTTATGATGGAGTTAATGTCACCACAAGGCAACTGCTCGATTCACAAGGCCTCACCAGAAAGCCGCCTCCGGAAATCAAGGAGTTAATTGAAGAATTCTCTAAGCATTCTAGAGAATACCACAATCCGAGGAATGAAGTAAGTCGGGGAGCAGTGAACTCGGTGAATGATAGCATGGCGGCGGTAATAGCTAAGCTCGATAGCCTAGATCGAAGAATGACAAAAATGGATCAAACAATCCATGCTATTAGGGTAGGATGCGAAAATTGTAGCGGGCCCCACCTCACCAAGGATTGTGATCGAGACGAAAACGGAAATAAAAAGGCTCAAGTGTTTTACTCTAGTGGCGATAGATACGACGAAGATTGGAGGAAACCGAAGAAGGAATGGCTCCCATACGAAGAATATAAAAAGGCTAAGGAGGAGAAATACAAGCAGAAGGAGAGGGGATTCTATCAAAAGGAAGAGCCGGTGATGGAAAAGAAGGCCAATTTAGAAGATATGCTCACAAGATTCATAACCGCGTCCGAGAAAAGAGACAATGATCACAATGTAGCAATGCAAGAGACCAGAAATATGTTGAGGAATCAGCAGGCATCCATTCTCAACATTGAGAAACAGCTGGGACAGCTTGCACATCAAGTGAATGAAAGAAGACCGGGCCAACTTCCGAGTAACACCGAACCCAATCCAAGAATGGAGAATGTAAGTGTAATAACCTCCAGCAGTGAAGGAACATTTACAGAAGCACTGAGAATCTCCAAGAAGAAGGCAGAAAAGGTAGAAGAATCGGACCCAGCAAAACCCGATCCGACTCGCCGAGTCACTCCATTGGACTCGACGAGTCCATGCGCAAATGATAAACCTGTCAGTTCTTTGAAGCCTTATAATCCTCCTCTGCCATACCCAATCAAAGCCATGCCTGCAGAAAAAGTAGAAGCATACAGAACCTTCATGAAATGTTAACGCTTTACAAGTTAATGTGCCATTTGTGGAAACAATGCTCCAAACACCTAAATACTTCAACTTGCTTAAGGGCCTTTTTGCTGCTAGGAAAGATTTGGCTGAAGTCGCGGAAGTATTGATGAGTGAGCTACCTGAAAAGAAGGGTGATCCAGGAAATATTGTGATTCCGTGCCAATTTGGTAATGAAGTTTTCACCCAGCATTAGCTGATTCGGGGCAAGCATCAATCTGATGCCTTTTTCATTCTTTAAGAAGTTGAATTTACCAGAACCAAGGCCGGTAATATGAAGATCCATTTGGTGGACAAGACGATAATTCATCCACAAGGCATTTGTGAGGATCTCCTTATAAAAGTTGACAAGTTTATTTTTCCAGTAGACTTCGTGGTAGTTGATATGGAAGAAGACCCCGAAATTCCAATTATTTTGGGGAGATCATTCTTGAATACCGCATGTGCTTTAATTGACACTACTAGAAAAAAGGCCTTTTACGACGCTCATTACGCATTGTAAAACACTCAGACGACGCGCAAATGCGCGTCAAGGAAGGCCCTGTCATAAAGAGAGATGACGAGCTTTTGCGCATCGTCTATAGACGACGCGCATTTACGACGCGCGGTTATGACACGCATTGCGTATCAAGGAAGGCCCTATCATAAAGGAAGACGACACGCATTTGCGTGTCGTAACCTTACGACGCGCGTGTTTATGACACGCAATGCGTATCAAGGAAGCACCAGTCAAGAAAAGTCATGTCATAAATGAAGATGACACACATTTTTGCGTATCGTAATTTTAATTTTTTTTTAAAAAACTATATGTTTATATATTTATTAATTTATAAATTAAATTTGCATTTAATCTCTCATAATAGAAATAAAATACCATATACAAAAAATACAATCCATTGCATAATATAAAATAAAATACCATATACAAAAAATACAATTCATTGCATTTAATTTGTATGTATAACAAAGACACATGTGTTAAACTTGTTACCATTAACATCTAATCGTATGGACTCGAGTGTTAAACTTGTTACCATTAATATCTGATTCATAAGTCCTTTCAACAAGATTGTTACCTGCATAAATGAAAACAAATAGGAACATTAACAGCCCAGCTATGAACAATATTGTTACCTGCATAAGTTACTAAGAGACTTATATACTCAGCTGGTTGTAATATGGCACTAAGAAGCCCAAGAATTGTTTGTGTTTTTCCTGCTCCCGGTGGATCCTACATAGACAAAAGGTAAGAATTAACATTTTCAAAGTAAATATAAGAAAGGGCATTATAGTAATTACCTCCATGCAATACTCAATGGACAGCTGGCTTTACTTGTAATAATAATTCATCAATTTTGCCACTCTTCTTCAAGGAGAACAAAGCCTCCTACTGATCAAAAGCATACTTTTTTGCAAAAGGAAGAATTAAAAATAATTATACCATGTAGATATATAAATCAAGAATGAAGGGGAATATGAATATCCTTAGAACTTTAATTTTACTCATTAAAGTAAAGAAACAAATAGATCATACAGTGGTTTATCCTTAGAAATTCCTTTGACATCATTCTCTGGAACTTGATCCTATAACAAACACATAATGTCATTGAGAAGTGACAAGATATGATAATAGAAAAAATAAATAGATAAAAAGCTGATGCAGATGGGTCGTCCATTGTAAAAGCAACAATACCCTGGGCAACATCTTAGTTTAATTTAACACCACGGACTTAAAAAATAAAAATAGGAATTAAATGTACCTTATGTGCTGCTCAACTGACTTGGGTGGCAGCATCACTTATGGCATAAATTGTATTACTAAGAAGACTAGTAGTTCCTTGTGTCATGCATGTGATGAGTCCTGCTGGACTAGTCCACAAAGAAACAGAATG